GGAAACTATTACAGATAGTATTAGAATTCCAAAGGTAGCTAGGTACAAAATTAATACTCGGCAATTATAGCATTATCATATTCAAACAATAAGATATAAGATATAATAGTAGTAGAAACCCCACTTAACAATAGCAACAAAAAAGATAAAATACCAAGGAATAAACACAAAAGGAATGTAAAAGGTCTGTATGAAAAAAAACTTTTAAAATATTGAGGGATACAAAAGTCCTGAACAACAAGAAATGGATGTACACCCTGTTCCTGAACAGAAGACTGAACTTCAAAAAGACATCACTGATCTCTAAATCAATCTATAAACATAATGCAGTACCAATAAAAATACCAACAAGATGGTGGAGGGATGCTTGAAGAGCTAACTCTAAGTTTTACGGAATAAGCAAGAATATACAGGAAAGCTGACTAGAACAAAAGAGGACTATAATCAAATAAAGGGTCACCAGGTATAAGTAGGTAAAATGATCAATAAAACATAATAAAAGCCCAGACAGAACTCCAAATTATATGTAGGAACTAAGTACACCCGCGAGCAATATTTCAATACTGTGATAACTGGATAGCCACCTGCAAGAAAAGCAAACTTGGATTCCTACTGCAATGCTTTACAGAACTTAAATTTGGTATGAATAAGTGCATTTAACTTAAAAATAAAATTATAAAATTACTAGGAAAAAATAAGAATTTTAATTTTAATTAGAAATGATATTGAATAGGGAGGGCCTTTCTTATGACACAAAACCTAAAATAAAAAAAAGATTATTAGAACTACAAAAAAATGTTAATTTCTGCTGAAAAAATATACCATAAGCAAGGTCAAAAGCCAAACGAAACTGAAAAATATCTGCAACATTTATCTGAGACAAAGGACTAATTTCCTTAAAACAGAGTTCCTATAAACAATATTAAACAACCCAACAGAAAAATGACAAAAAATGTAACCAGATGAAATAGAAATAGAAGCAGATGTTATAACAATTATGATTGTATCGTTCTTAGACCTACTGAAAAAGATGAAGAAAAATATACCTCTTAAATTGGTGATTCAAAATAAGTTTAATAACCCACACTGTTACCAAAGGTATGGAAAGCCAGTACCCCACCATCGATAGGGGAACACAAACTGGTACAATCTCTATGGAGGGCAATTTGACAATATCAATCAAAATTTAAATAGCACATATCCTTTGATCCAGCAATTGTACCTCTAATAATTTATTCTCAAAACAGACTCACTCATGTGCAAAATTATATACAGGATATTTATTTTATCATCTTTTGTATTAGAAAGACAGTAAACATTTTAAAAGCCCATCCAAACAAAGAAATGCTACCAGTTCTCCCCCACTCCTACACACACACACACACCTTTCTGGAAAAGATACGCAAGAAATTGGTTGCTCCTAGGGAAGGAAAGCAATTAGCTGGGGTCAAAGGAAAAAGGAAAATTTGCCTTTTATCATGTGTACCATTTGGATTTTATATCATGAATATAAATCACATTGAAAATTTTTAAGTTAAGATTTTCGGCATTATTTTTACACAGCTTTACCAATTGTTATATTTTTCCTCCTCTCTGTCAGTTTTCTAGTTCCTACCTTAGCAACAATGTTTAACTGTTTCCCCAGCTTGTACATGGCATTTACTCAAATTCATACAGGTAAATCACAACAGTAACTTAGATTCCATTGTCCCCATGACCTCTTTGCCCGAGCTGCACCTCTGCACACCTATTCTACAAAGAGCACTGTGCCCTATTCTTTACTGGGTATATAGAGATTATGAGTTAGTAGAAATCCAGGACTAAGAAGCTATGAATTTCATAGCCTATGGGGCAAACGCATAACTACTATTGTATTTTAGGAGACAGCAAAAAGGAAAGACACTGCTCAAACAAGGTTTCACAAAATATCATTTGTGCTCTGTGAAGTATAGTGTACTATTTTTATATTTAAAAACCTGATTTTATCCATTTGTCCAGAGTCGATGGAGCTATGGGGAATTGAAACACACTAAGCAATCAAATTCACAAGAATTGAATTCCTTACACAGTATGTCAATGTATTTAGAATTTAAGAATATATATGTATATGTGTGTATATGTATACCTCTATATACATATATATTTGATATATATGTCTTATTTTTTATCTATATATATATATATATATATATATATATATATATATCAAGAGTATCAAATCCTGCCATTTCAAAGAATCACACACAAATAGTAATTATGCCCAAGGAGAACTATGTGGTGCTATGAGTGTGTATTAAGGAGAAGAGAACAAACAGAAGGTCAGAGAAGACTTCTTGGAAAAACACAGTGTGATCAACCTGAGATCCAGTGGAAGAGAAGTTTAAAAAAAGAGAATAGAATGAGGAGTACGAGATTTCCTGGATGATGGAATAGCATGAACAATGGCCCTGTGGCAGAAGGGAGCATGATCTGTCTAAGGAGGTGGAAAAAGATCAAAGAGCAAGAGAACGTGATGTAGGATTATCTAGAGAATTAAAGAGGGGTCTTTTAGGCCATGTTAAGGATTTTTACCTTATCTTAAGAGCAATGAAAAGCTAGTAAAGGGTTATAAGCAGAGATGAGAACAGGCTTGTGCTCACAAAAGATGAGTGTGCTGTACAAACGTGAGTGGAAGCAGGAAGACTGCTTAGAAAGCTATTGCAGGAGACCTAAGTGAGGGATGATGGCAGCATGGACTGGAGTTATAGCAGAAATAAAATAAATAGGACTTGGTGATTGATTATATCCTAAATGCAAGGGAGAGGAAAATGTTAAGGAGGATTCTTGAGTTTCAGGTTCACATAACTGCATGGATAAAGATGCTATCACTAAAAGAGAGAACACTCCAAGATCAGGTTGTTTTGTTTTGTTTCATAGGGGGCTGGACAGAGGGTAGATGTGCAAAAAGTAAGCAAGGGTTCTGAATGCTCAGTATCTGGACATCTTGGTAGAGAAGGATAAAAAATGTTAAAGAGGATTAGAATTCAAAGGAGGGAGAAAGTTAGCTACAACAACTTATTATTTTTTAACCTCCAAGGTCAGCCATAAAATGGGCCTAGACATTTCTACCCCTCCCTATCACCTAAAAGCTTTTTAAACATCTCAAAATAAAACCTTTCAATCAAGGGGAGAGGGAAGGCTTAAAATTCAATGCTTGGAAAAATAAAGAATTGGTGTGAAAGAATTTCAGAGTATATATATATATTGAAATATCAGATGTTCCCAATTCTGAGAGTGAAGAAACGTCAGAGGCTTCCTACCTGGGGAAGGAAGAATGACATACCCATCAATGGGAAAAGAAAGCATAAGAAGAGCCGATGGCCCCATTGCACGAATTTTCAGTTTAAATACTGTTTATCTTTACCTCTGGACAAATGGCTTTTCTTGGCCTTGTGTGCTAAGAGAATGCAGAATTAAGCTCCACACCGAAGCCTTTTATCAGAAATCATGGCTTCCACTGCCATCAGGTGGTGGCAGTGAGGAAGTGCACCAACCAGATTCTTAGAGCCTGGGAATGCCTATGTGAAGCCTATGATATAATTAATCTAAGATCAAAGACTTAAAGATTGCAGTAGTAGAGGGCAAATTGATGATATCTTTGGTAAGAAATTTATCTTCTCACCTGTCAATACACAAAAATGAAAATTTTTGCTATTAATTTGGGGTGAGAAAAAAGATTTCTCCTTTTTTCTTTTTCATATTAAAGATCACATATTTAACAATTCTAGAATACCTAGTCTGATACTATCTGTCATCTCAAACCCAACTCCTGGTGTATTTTATATATGACTAAAATTGCTTCACTGTTCATTTCAGTGGCGCATATAAATGGATTAATGTGCATTTCTAGCACGCATCAATAACCTTATCTCAAACATGAGCAACTGTTTCACCGAAAGTGCAAAATTCCCTTTTTATCTTCAAATTAACCAAATAACAATTTTTGACTACTTAGAAGTACAAAGCACAATAGTAAACACAATTCAAAAACCATCATATTCTCCAAACTCATCACCATAACATATCACTGATAAAATCAACGTCAATATTATTCACAAAAAACATGCTGAATGATTAACACACCATTCTTGACAGTTTCCTTCAATATAATATTTGACATTTTGGGCAGTACACCTTCATTCTACTATACTGAATATTCACTCACAAATGTAGCTTTTTTCCCATTATCTACGCACATACATCGATTTGATTGTCTGTCTTTCAAGGCATGTGAACACAAGGCTAAGAAATTGTAGGCAAAAACGTGAAATAATCACACTGGGTAGATGTTTTTACAATTCTCAATCAGATGTTTTCATATGGTAGACACAACATAATTTTGTCACTAAGTATATTCTTGATCTTCATTTTCTCCCGTTAAATCCAGACACACCATCCATTCTGTCTCTGGACATTCCAAAATATTAATAATTCAACTAGTTTTCCCTAATTTTCTTGGTTCTGTTCCCATCCACCTCCAACACCCCCAACCCCCGTCTCCTTTCTTGTTTCAGAATGCCTAACTCTTACACACTCGAGGTGATTTTTACAAAATCACTCTTTGGAATGCTCTTCCCTCTTCTCTCCTTAAAAATAATCTCCCACAGCTAGGCGCCAATGTCTTTCTTTTACAAGATCAAACTGCCTAAGAGGACGAGACTGAAAACCGAGTAAGCGAAACATTTGGGAATGTCAATGAGACAGCGTCCTTTCCTTCGAAAAGAAAACACAACTCTTAGCATAGAGCTTTCAATAGAGCAAAAATACTTTTTCCCGCTGTGCTCCTGTTCCCTTCCAGACCTCAAAGACACCTTTCCTTTTCTCTAAGCCCCGGTCGCTCTGCTATGCGTGGGGCCTGCCTTTCCTCCTCCCAAGGAAAAGCAAGCCAGGGAGAAAAGAAAAGGTAGCAGTCCCCTTCTCGCTGCGCCTGCGAGCTGTCAGGATCGTGCCCCACGACTCACCTGGCAGGTGCGGCCGCCCGGAGAGTTGCACGAAGCGGTTGAGCTGGCCAGTCCCCCGACCCCCGCTGCCCCCACTGCCCCCGCCGGCCCCGCTACCTCCGCCGCCGCCACCACCTGCGGCGCCTCCTCCCCTCCGGCGGTTCCTGTCCCAGCCCTGGGCGGCCGACATGCCGGCTAACGACTGCCGCAGCCCGGTCGCGGCAGCCCGTGGCCCGGCGGCACTAGCCGAGCCTCCTTCCTGGGCTCCTCAAGAGACCCAGGAGACAGGGGAAGGGGGAGCGCCCGGTCTCACCTGCGGCCAATGACTGACTTACTTGGTGACAGGCAGCCAATGGCCAGTCGTCTTCTTGATAGGTGGAGGGAGGCGGGGAGAGACGTGGTAACCATAGCTATGGCTAAAAAAAAAGTGGGGGGTAGAGAAAGGCAGAAGCAGCCACTCATCACTCGTATCCACCGCGCTAAGCGAGCCCGCGTCGCCAGGACTCCTGCGGGATCAGGCGGGCCAATCGAAGGCCGAGTGAGCGAGGCTACGCCTGTAGAGAGTCCCGGCGGCAGTCCCGGCGGCAGCCCGGACTCCAGGCATGTTCTGGATTCAAGAACTCTTCCCTGTAAACACTGAAATCAGAAACAGAACGCGCACGTAATACACATGTTTGAGGACAATACAGTGTTCCGCCAGCTTTACAGACTGAGATCCTTTCCCCTGACATACACAAAGAGGGGGAAAAAAACCAGGGGCGGGGTCAAAGCTTGACTACAAGAATGAGGTATTCCTAGGTTTTATTTGTCTAGTCTTTCCGTCGACTGGCGGAACTCCTCCCTTACTCAGTATAAACCACATCCCAAGCAAACAATTTTAAACCTGGTTAACAAATGTAGGAAGATGTTCAAGCTCACCAGTAGTGATAGAAATACAAATTAAGACTCCTCAATGAGAAACCTTTTCAGGCCTATTACATTAGTAAGGATTCTTAAAATAACACCTAGCAGCAAATAGAGTGCCAAGAAAAAGGTTCTTTCATAGATGACTGACGGCTATGTAAATATTTTTGTTCAAACTCCTTTTTGCTCATAGAAAACTGTAAAAACTTTAATCAGCTGGAAGACAGAAACAGGTACGGATGATCAAGATCAAAGAAAAATGTAGATGTACAGATCAGAAATTCCTATTGTTCCAAAATTAAACAGAAAATTTGACTTTGAACTTACTGGGCGCAGTGCAAAGTGGGAAAGTACCAGATTATTCACTGATGTTTATGAATGATATGGGAAAACCATGTAAATTCCTTAAGGAAAAAAAAAACTTTTCAAGATTCTTAGGTCTGATGGCGTTTTTACTTCTCTTTTCACTTGATGCTTAGAGGAGACCTAACGTGATGCAGAGAAAAAAGATAATCTACTGGAACTGAGGATGCATATCTTCTTGGTGCAAGTTTCATGTTGCCACTGGCCCCGCCTCCTTATTTTGCTACTTTTAGGCCCTGTGGGCAGGTATTTTACCCCTGAAGCTTTAGAATGCACTTCTTATAAAAATGTTGGAGACCTGAAAAAGTCCATGGCTCTAAAACATGAAAATCAAAATTAATTAATGTTAGTTTTTCTAAAGAATCTGTACCATTGAGTAACCAAATAGTAAATGAAGTATACTTTATAGGAATACTCCTATAAAATTTTTACATGATAGACTGTCACCATTTTGCAACCGCTAAGGAATTTGGAGATCACATTGAGCATCAACAACTGCTGTTATCACGAAATGAAAGTTGAGACATATATGCCTCTAGAACATAAAAATGTAGTAGCCTTGTAGAAAAAATTGAACCTCAATCTCATCAGACGTCTATAAGTAACCATCAATTTATAGGAAATAAGGAGGACAGAAGAAAATAAAAAAAGATACCACAGAGATGCAAAAAGCAAATCCAGACTATGGAAATTCTACAGGATAAGCAAGCAAATTTCTTCAAGAAAATGCACAGGAAAAAGAGATCTGGAGGGGGGAAAATCTGTAGATTAAAAAGAGACTTGTGATGATTGTGTAACTGTGAATATACTAAAAATCATTGACTAGTAATGGTTGCACAACTTTGTTAACACATTAAAAACCACTGAATTGTACACTTGAAAAGGGTGAATTTTATGGTATGTAAATTATATCTCAATAAAACTTAAATAATATGGGAAGGAGGAGTGGTTGGGGAGAGAGGTGAAACAACATTGGCTTCCCTTTAAATGGGCAAATTATATGTGAATTGTATCTCACTAAAGCTGTTTTTAAAAAGAGCAACATAACAGACATATCAATGAATTGCAATAACATTCACACTTTAGAAGTGTTACCAAACCAAACTTGGGTCCATTCACCCATGTGCAGTAAAGGCAATCTACTGACACCAGGTTGTGGTGAAGGAGAATGCAACGTTTACTAGAGGCACCAAAAAAGGATTATGGGCAGCTAATGCTCAAACAACCCGAACTCCCAGATGGATTTCAGGGAAGGGTTTTTAAAGGCAAGGTGATGGAGAGAGTCACAGAGTGTGTGATCAGCTCATGAATAACTCTCTGATTGGTTGATGGTGAGGTAACAGGGTGATGTCACAGGGGTTAATATCATCAGTCTTCAGGCTCTAACCTGTCTGGGGGCTCCATGTTCAAGGTCATCATGCAGTTAGCTTCTTCCATCCAGTGGGGGTTTCAATATCTGTAAAACAACGCAGGAATGTGCATCAGACATTGTTATCTATGTCCGTCAGGGAAGATCTAAAGATTCTGTGACTCTTCTATATGGCTGATATATTGTTTAAATTGTCACCGGTTCTCCTGGCCCAACTGCTATTTTTTGTTACTACGTGTTCACATTCTTTAAACATTAACTCTTGAGCCAGCCTTTTGTGACTCAGGGGAGGCCAGAGAGACTAAAGCTTTTCTACAAACAAAAGGCAGTGGAGGACATGATGGTGTGTGTTGGGCAAGGGAAGGTTCTGTCCCAGGAAGGCCCCACAGGGTGAAATAGTGGGCCTTATGTGAATCCTGAGTCATAAAAACTGGGGAAAAAAGCATTGATGAGACCATTAGAAATTTGAACACTGAATATTTTATGACATTAAAGAATTATTGTTAATTTTAGGTGGAACAATATTATTGTGGCTATGTTAACAAGAGTCTTTATCTTTTAAATATACATACTGAAATATGTGTTCATAAATTATTTCAGTTATTTGCTTCAAAAAATATAGGACCCAGCAATTCCACTCCTAAGTATATACCCAAGACAAATGAAAACATATGTCCACACAAAACTGTGTACATTAATGATTATAGAAGCATTATTCATAACAGCCCCAAAGTGGGAACAATCAAAATGTCCATCAACTGATAAACTGATAAACAAAATATGGTATATCCATACAATGGAATATTATTTGGTAATTTAAAAAATGAAGTATTGATACATGAATGAACTTGAAAAAAATCACGCTAAGTGAATGAAGACAATCACAAAAGACCATATATTATATAATTCTGTTTATACAAAAATGTCCAGAATAGGCAAATCTAGAGAGACGTGGATTAGTTGTTGTCAGGATCTGGAGGAGAGAAGAAGGGGCACAGGCTTTCTTTTTAGAGTGATAAAAATGTTCTGAAATTAGCCAGTGGTGATGGTTGCACAATTCTGTGACTATATTAAAAATCACCGAATACCCCACCTTTGTATATGTCAAAAATTCTTTGTAATAAAAAAATCTAAAAATTCTCCATAATAAAAAAAAACTACAAAAATAAGGCGATATTAACCAATAAACCGAAAACCATCTAATATAATTTCATAAATATATAATCAATTTTAAATTCCGTAAACAAAATGAAAAATTTATTCTGAACTAAATTTAAAATTATTAAATTATTTTAACAGCCTCTTAGAAAGGTTACAGCCAAATGTTTTTAATGTGGAATTTGTGTATACTGGTGGGTGTTGACATAATTTGGAGACAGGCCTTCAAAATAAGTGCATGCAGACAATATGTACCTATTCACATGAGGTAATATGAAGTACATGATATCAGCTATAAAGTAATCATGCCAAAAACATTACCTTGAATGGAATCAAGATATAAGCATTAACGTCCAGTTTGCAGGAACTTTCAGGGGTCAAAGGAACAAGTTAAATGGCATGTGAAACAATCTAACAAATCCAAGGGGACAATCTCCATAATATCTAGACTGATCTCGCCAATAAATCAATATCATGAAAAACAAAATGAAATAACACAAAAACAAAATGGAAGGGTTAATTAATTCTTAATGACCTAATAGATCTAGGCAATGATAATCAATGGCTGCTAGCATAACAAAAAGAAACAAGCAGGCACTAAGTCGATGAAGTACTCTTACCAAAAAAAAAATCTGAATCGAGTCAAAGTTTTAGCTCTAACTACCAGTTCACAGGAAATAAAAAGACAGAGAATATGTTAAATGATATCTTGGGGGGGTGTAACCTGAAAATACATAATGTGGAAAACTCTATAGAACAAATAGCCTGTTTTCTTCATTATATTTCAAGGAAAAGGAGGAGGAAAAGGAAACCTACAGATTAATAGAGTTTGAGTTTGAGACATAGCAACCAAATGCAGTGTTTGAGATTTGTTTACATTTTGATTAGAACAAGCCAACTATTTTTTTAATGGGAAAATTGGATTGGATATTGGATTATACTCAGGAATCGTTAAGTTTTTTTAGGTAATGTAGTTTTTTTTTTAAGCTCTTGTATTTTGAAGAAGTAGACTGAAATATGTATAGGTAAAATGCTATGATGTCTAGGATTTGCTTCAAAATAATCCAGGAAGTGGGGTATGGGAGACAGGAAGAGAATGTAGATTAAATAAGGATGGCCATGAGTTGATACTTAATGTTGCTAGGTGGTGGGTACTTGGAATTCATCACACTATTCTCTCTGCTTTTGTATATATTTGAATTTTTCCTTCATAGAAAGATTTTTTTTAAAATAGTTCTTAAAAGAACAATTCCAAATTAAAGGAAATTTACAACAAAATGTGTGCTGTTCTCTTGAATAAATCAACCTTAAAAAAATTGAGGACAACTGGAAAAATTGGAATTTGGAAAGGTTATTAGAAGATATTAGGATATCATCGTTATATTTGTTACATGTAATAATATTAAGCTTATATAAGAAAATCTCTTTGGTGGGGGTGGTATAGCTCAGTGGTAGAACGCATGCTTAGCATGCACAAGGTCCTGGGTTTTATCCCCAGTACCTCCATGAAAAATCAAAAACAAACCAAAAAACTTAAAAAAAAATTTTTTAGAGGGAAGGTAATTAGGTATCAACTCGCAGTTGATACTAACTCAGAAAACAAGTCAGTTGGAATTAGCAAGAAGTCTG